GTTAACCTTTGGATAATACTTGGGAGGATGTAGCATCCCATCAAGGGAGTGAATGTGGACACCATTGCTCCCTTTCACTTTCCAAACCATCGCTCTGGTGAATTGGAGAAGGGAGCCTCGATCCCAGGTTCCAGCTCACTCGTCACTAAAGCTGCCATTGCCTTAGGGCCTCAGTGATGGTCCCCCTGACCATGTCGTCAGGGGTGAATGTACAGCACTGGCCCCCAACATTACACATATTCCTCCTTTTTCTGCCAGAATCCTAGCCAAGGCCAACCTGGTTGCTTTCCCTGGCTTTCTAATCACACATATGATACCAGCTGTAAAGTAGGGATTTCTCATTGGGTAGCAGAATGGCGTCAATGGCAAAAATAAGAGAGTAGGTAGCAGAGAATTAACAGAAAATAGAAAACCCAGGTGGAAAGGGGAGTTAAAGTTTCACTCTTATGAAAGTTCCCATTATTTTGCTGTTTTTCTGGCTGCAAAACAGGATAGAAATTATGTGGGGTAACTACTGTGAGGTGTGACTGGAATGAAATCCGTTCAGTGTAGCACAACAACTGGGCAGTGTCTGCCAAGTGCCAGCTGGCACCACAGCGGAGAAGAGCTCATCCTCTCGCCCGGCCAGTATGCTCAGTGGTTGGATACCATCCTGTGCACCAAAAGGCTGCCCATTTGACTCCAGGTCAGAGCACATGCTGAGGTGCAGGCTTGATCCCTGGTAGGGGGTGTGCAAGAGGCAGATGATTGATGTTTCTCTCCCTCTCTCTCCCTTTTCCCCTTTCCCTTCTCTGGAAAAAAAAAATCAATTTAAAAAATCTAAAAAAAAAAAGTTCATCTTCTAGCTAGAGTTATACTACCTGACTTCAAGTTCCAGCTTTACCACTTAATGGCTGTGTTTTCTTGAGCAAGGTGCTTAACCTCTCTGTGTCTTATTTTCCCCAAGAGTAAAGTAGATAGCCCTGGCCAGTTTGGCTCAGTGGATAGAGCACCAGCCTGTGGACTGAAGGGTTCCAGGTTCAGTTCTGGTCAGGCACATGCCCGGGTTGTGGGCTCGATCCCTCGTAGGAGGCAGCCAATCAATGATTCTCTCTCATTCTCTCTCTCTCGTTCTCCCTTCCTCTCTTATATGTTCTTTGTGATCAACTGTGTGACATTGGTGAGACTTCCTTATAGAGCTCTGGTATAAGCCAAGTCAAGATGGCTTGTCTCTCCATAAATTGACAGAAGAGTCATATGACTATGATGGGGAAAATGCCAATTATGATGATTTTTATATTAGAGTAGGTGAGAGAAGGGAACTCACCCAGTATCTTTACACCTGCCATGTGCCAAGCACTTTTTGAAACAATTTACTTCCTTTAGCCCATCGAATCCTCCAAAACTCCTATGCTGTCCACAGAATTATCCTCATTTTAAAGAGGAGAAAATTGAGCCTCAAGGAAGTAAAATAACTTGTCCAAGGTCACATAGCTGCTATGTGGTGGGGCGAGAAAGCAAAGGGTCTGCCCAAAGCAAACAAAAAAGTCTCCCCAGAAGTTTTTATTTTTAAGTCCTAAGGAGAAATAATTTATCAATTCAGAGAAACACCCTTCCTCTAATGTACTTTAAAACAAAACAAAAAATAAGGGCCCTGAATTTGGACACGTGTTAGGTTTTGTCCTCTCATGGGTTATGTTCATCGAGCCATTTTTGATGCTGAAAGCCTTTTCAGGCAGCAGAACTCTTAGAATAGGTTTATGAGGGGGCTGTTCACTCTGCTTCTCAAAGTCAAAAAGGCCAAGTTTACTAAGTTAAAGCATTTCCCACTGGATAGAGCAGGAAGAAGCTGCAGGAGAGGGGCACTAGGACCGCGTTTCCTTTTTTAGCTTACTCTTACCAGTAGGAGAGTGGCAATGGGAACACTGAGGTGAGACCAGCTTCGGCGCCGCCCAAAAAGGTACGAGAAGTACCAGGTCTTCCAGACACTCTCAAGGATGCCAGGAATGGTCCAGACATCCCTTCCTCTCCCACATCCACCAGGGGGCGCACTAAACTCTCACGTTTCTGTGGGGAGTCAGTTTCTTAACCATTCGGAGCTTCAGCACCCTCATAGGAACTAAATGTAACAACAGATGTAAGCTCTTGACTCATGGTATGGCCCAATAAATGATAGTTTCTCCCTTATCACTCACCCAAACAAACAAATACTGAAATAAAAAGAAGTTCATCTGGAAAGACCCAGCTGGCTCCTCAGGTAGTAGTTCTGGGTTCACAGCTGGTCCCCTTGTGACTCAGGGCCATTGTCTCTGGGGGGAAAAGAATTCTGGATCTCCACCTCCCCCAAATTGCTGACCTCATTCCACTGCTGGTGCTCCACATCAGAATATACCACAACCTCACAGTTAGAGACGCTGCTTTGCAACTTTGGGGCAGAAGGGTGGCTGGTGATTCCAGCTCTGACACATGGTGGCCCATACTTACTGTTCATCATTCAGACTCACCAGTGTGGACAGACGTCAGAGTAGACAGGTCACTAGTCTAGAAGCCAGGAGCCCTGGATTCCACACTCTCCTCCTCCATTGATCCCTTGAGTGGCCTTAAGCAAGTCACTTCCTCGCCCTGGGGCTTAGTTTCCCCCTTGACAAAAGGAAATGTTGAATTGTTAATCTGTGGAATCCCTTCCTGTTCTGTTGTTCTGTGATGCTATTCCATTCCATCGGGGCCACGTGTGATTTAAGGGTGATGGATGACATACATTTTTTGCAAATTTTACGTTGCTATTAAAAAAAACTCAACTAATTATCCTGTTTTAAGCTGCTACTAGCCCAGCTGGATAAATACTTGTTTTCCCATTGGCTCACTGAATTTTTTGTTTCCAGGATCCTGTCAGACAAGTTAGGCTCGGTTTTTAATTTGGTTAAGGAAGCCAGTTACCTGAGAGAGATTAACCTTTATCCCAAAACTTGAGCTTCACATTTTATAAAAGCACAACTCACGAAATACATATTTATTTGTCTAACTACCTCAACCCCACCCTCACCTTCTCACTGATCTTGTCCACTCTTGGAAGAAAAATGCTAACTAAGTATGGTCCAGGCCCTTTACTGCCCTCTGGGAACCGCCACTCATTTTTCAGACTCGCACCTCTGGTCACTGGATCACTGTGATCAGCTAGATTTTCCCAGCGATCACTAGGCCAGTTCAGTAGATCCAAGACGACTTGAGATTTCCCCCCTTCTTTCAGCATTCTACCATAGCACTCTGAATGAGAGTGTTGAGGTGTCTGTGCAGGACAATGAGAGAGATGATAAAGGCTGGTTTGCAAGGTGTTTTTTCCAATTAAGGCTCTGTTTGATTAGTTGTCAGAGTGGGACTGAAGCCTCTGTGTCCGTGGCAAGAATGGATAGCTTGGTGAACTTGGCTAACTATGGGGATGCTGTAGGGTGGGGTAATAATCATACTCTGAACCTCAGAGGAAACAGATAGTGAAGGACAGAATGAGAGATACCTGAGGGAATGGTCTTCCCTAGCAGGCTTTTGCTTTAATTTACCCTGTTCTTTCTTTCTCTTATGACAAAGGGTATGTTTATGAATAAGTTTAGAACACCATAATTTCAAAAGCACTCACTTATTTTAATTTACACAACAGGCCTATGGGAACAGCTGTGGCGGACATTTGGAATGATGGACATTTTCTTGGTTCTTGCCCAAACACAAAGATGTCTTCTAGGGAGAGGCTGGACGTGCACCCCAAAGAGCCCTCAGCAACATGGTATTTACCTGGTGCATGGACCATGGTTTAAGATCCAGTCTCAGGCCTTGTGGATCCAGAGAGGCACCTAGGACAGGACCTGCATTAACCACGCTCTCAGAGACTAAAATATAATAAAAAGCTGCATGTTCATGATTAATTTATAGTGAAAAATTCAGCTGTTGGGCAAACCAGAAGGCTTGAGTCAGCAGATAGGAATATTCTTTCTCAGTATGCTAATTATTTTGGAAACCAAATTATAATCAGAAGGGCAATTTATTCACTTAAAGTGAAAAACACAGATTTTAACCAAACCAGATGTTCATGCTAGCCAAGCCTCTCCTGACAGATAAACTACAAATTATTAGAAGATTGCTTAGGGAGTAGGGAATCAGAGAAAGGGGCATTTGACAATTTTAAGGTGTGTCTTTCAGCAGCTTGAGGCCACCCTGCACCCCATGGGAGGAATAGCCTTGCCAAGAAAACTGTAATGCTTACGTCTGGTGAGCTAAGCCTTCCTCTCCATGCAGTAGGCATGGACGGGCACTGCCAGTGCTGACCTTGGCAGCTCTCGGCTCTCATTGCTTCTGTTTCTCATGGTCCTTGTCCAAACAGGGCTACAATACAAATAATTAGCTTTCTGCTTACTTTCTGGGATTGCTCCCAAGTGATCTCAGTTGGAATTTTTGCAGTTCCAAAAACTCGTTGGGTACACATTTAAAAAGAGTGTCTTCGTCTCATCCAATTCATCCAATGGATTTTACTAGTTTAGCTCTTGAAAATCTTGTTTTTTATTTCATGAGCAGCATTGTGCTTTCTATTTAAAAAGGTGTGTGTGTGTGTGTGTGTGTGTGTGTGTGACACAAAGTTAGAAATGGAGATTCAGAGGGGCTGAGTGTCTTGCCCTGAGTCACATAGCTGGTGATCAGTAGAGCTAGAACTCAAATCCAGATCTTCCCAGTTTAGATCCTGCTCTTGTTCCATTGAATGCAATTGAGCTTTCTACTGGTAGGAAGTTTCATTTTGAAGCAAGCAAGAAAAATCAATGTTCTGTTAAGAATTAGCTTTAAAAAATGTTAAGTGATATTTTTCTCTAAATGGTGGGGGTGGGCAGCAGCATAAAGTGTGCAGTTGAGGAGCTGAGAAGATATAAATAAAAAGGTCACTCAGATGTAGCCACCTGCTGCAGGGGACCATGAGGTCCAGGCATAGAGCATCCAACGACCTTGTCTGAGCCTACAAAGTAAGTGGATGTGTTTTGTTGCAGAATCTGAGTGTATCAGAGGCAAGAGGAAAAATCCTCCACTATCAGGTGACTTTGCTGGAGGTGACTGGGGAGAAAGCCACACTACAGAACATCACAGAACATACCTCCTGGACCTGGGTCATTCCCAGAACTGAGAACTGGGCTGTGGCTGTGTCTGCAGCTAACTCAAAAGGCAGTTCCCTGCCCACTCGTATTAACATAACAGACCTGTGTGGGACAGGTAAGTACCAACTTTTCTTTAATATTGCCTGTGGGAAACCATGTCTTACTCACCTCTTATCTTCCTCAGGCTCAGTTCAGGGCCTGGTGTGGGTAACCTTGGAATTTAGACTTGTGAATCAACAGCTTCAAAGGTTGTCTTTTTCACTCAGACTAGGAGTGGCCTTGGACAAGTGAATTAACACTTCTGGGCTTCAATTTCCCCGTCTTTAAAGTGGGGATTGCATCATCCACTTTGCAGGTCATTGTAAGATTAGATACAGAGACTAATACATAGCAGGTGCTTAATAAATGTTAGTTAAGGAAATATTAGTTGCATTAAGTTGAACACTAATATCTGGCTAATTTTCCCAGAAGCAAGAATAATATGGGCTGTCAAATTCTAGAAGAAAACATTTTACACCTATAGTCAAAACATATTTTAAAACCAATTGTATTAAAATGAAATTCTGGCTGTAATGAAACTATAGTAAAAAAAAAAATTTATGTTATAGTTCTTTATACCACAAATTTAGGTGTGATCCCAGTTATCTACATTGAAAACCTCCCAACTAGCTATACACATTTTATAGTTGCATTCTCTGAAAACTAACTTCTTTGGATAAAAACCTATAATTAGTGTAAAAAAAAAAGGTAAAAAATGAAAGAAAAAGAGGGGGATAAAAAGGATGCTAATGCTATTTCTCAGGGCCTTTTTCCAAAAAATGCCTGATAGAATAAAACTCTAATAAGATCCTTGCTTAAAATTCAATGTAACAATTTTACATGTGAGTCTAGCAATCATCATTTTGAAGAAGCTTCTACCAAAACATGATTATTTTATGTATACTATTAAATCTGGGTTATATAACTTTTCAGTCACATATCTATAAATATAGAGACAATAGAGTAATAAAAATAAGTAGAAGAAAATACAAGTAAATATTGATAACCTTGGATTGGTATATGAGTTAGGAATTGCTCTTAGGAGTAAGGGTTGCTCTTAGCAGAGGCCTGAGCACAGAGATTTATTTATTCTCACACATTAAAGAAGTCAGAAGTAGCCAGCCTTCTCCAGGGCTGGTGTGGCAGCTTTGTGACATCATCAGGACTCCAGCCTCCTCCTTCTGTCCCTTCTGTCAAGTTGGCCTTCGTCCTCAAGATGGATGAACTCCTGAACCCCGAGGCGGTTGCCTGAGTTCTAGCCATTTCCATCCAGGCAGCAGGGAAGATGGGAGAGAGGAAGGCACACCCCCTCTCCCTTGAGGAGCTTTGCCCCAAGTCACACACAACATACTTGCAGCCATTGACTCCAATTGGTCACCAGGCCACACCCAGCTCAGAGGAGGCTCAGAAGTGTATTTCAGGCAGCAGTGTTGCCTCGATAAAGAAGATGAAGGCGGGCAGGTATTTGATAGGCCGCTGGTAATTTCGCTCATGTGTATTAGGTACCTAAGGCAGAAACCTGATGGAAGAGATGGATTAACTATGGGGAAAAAAGCTTAAACTTTCTGCATAGTAAAATTTAAAAAGTTGAAAACACCAAAAATAAAACTTTAAAAATACGAGTAGCAATTTTTTTCAGAGTAACATAATAAAACCATGTTCCCATTTTCAGATCTAACAAATGTTAACAGTTGGCCAGATTTTCTTTTCTATTTTAAAAACATTATTTATTTCAATTACAATTTACTTTCAATATTATTTTGTACTAGTTTCAGATGTATAAGTAGAAATTTAAGAAAAGTATATATCACATTTTTTACAAAAAGAGGATTATCTGTCTAACTTTTTAAAAAATATATTTTTATTGATTTCAGAAAGGAAGGGAGATGCAGAGAGAGACAAAAACATCAATGATGAGAGGGAAGCATTGATTGGCTGCCTTCTGCATGCTCCACACTGGGGATCAAGCTGAAACCCGGGCATAGGCCCTGACCAGGAATCCAACTGTGATCTCCTGGTTCATAGGTCGAAGCTCAACCACTGAGCCATGCCAGCTGGGCCTATCCAACCTTTTAAAATAAGATAGCAGGGATATGAACAAGCAACTCAAATAATAAATATAAAAAGAATAATAATGATATGAAAATATGTTCAGTCTATTTACTAATCAATGAGATGCAAATTTTAAAAAACCATGAGAAACCAAGTCAGACTGAGAAAGAGTAAAAAATTAGTATAATCCACACTGGTGAATGATTAAAGTATTCTTGTACCCTGCTAGTGGGTGTGTACACTGGCATACCTTTCTAAAGAACAATTTGGCCAAATGTAATGAACTTTAAAGATAAACATATCTTTTGACCAAGAAATTTTAGCATTAGAAATGTATCCTCAGCAAATAGTAAGTGCTTAAAATAAATAGCCAAAAATATGTTTGTTGAAAAAAAAATAGTGAAATAGTACAAATAACCTAAATGTAAAATAATAGAAAATGAACTGGGTTAATATATCCTGACTCTCACTGGCACTGATTTCATACTAGCATTAAAGTGATGTTGTAGCTATGTTTTTATTGCCATTGAAAGATGCACATAATAAGTACAATGGTAGGCTTCCAATAGTGTATATGGGATAATGTCATTTAAAATATGTATTTACATGAATATACATTTTTCGCAAGTTAAAAACATTTAGTGGGATATAATGGAAATGTTAATAGAGATCATCATTGCATCATGGGATTGCAGGTAATTTTTCTTCCCTTTTGCTTGTTATACTTTTTAATTTTTTTTCTTCTATGAGTAAGGACTACATATGTAACTTTTTAAAGTGAATTCTGTGGGAGAAGAGCTCATACCATTGTTTATATCCTGCTGTTGTTAAAATGCAGTATGTCAGAATACCTTACTTCTTCAGACCTCACTGCAGAGGAGTCTTGGGGATATAAACCTCATGAATTTTCTGGGCCCATTCCAGACTCTTTATTTAGATTTGATAACAACTTCTCAAATTGACACATTCTTTATTTTAGAGTTGGCCTCTACTTTATTCATTCAGTAGTCCTTTATTGAGCATATACTATCTAAGTCAACTGGACTCCAGCAGTAGGTTAAAAAATAAGATCCTCCAGTTATATTTACTCAGGTGGAAGGGCAGACATATAAACGAGTAAACTGTAGTACAGTATAGTAAGTGTGAGGTTAGTGGTATGCACAGGTAGCTCTAGGAACAGAGAAAAGCCAAAGTATGGGCTTGGAGAGGAGGCAACATGGGAACAGGGTATGGAGAGACCACTTGGTACTAGCCAGGTGAAGAGATGCAGGTGTGCAGGTATGAGGGTTTGTTTTAAAGAGGGATCCGAATGAGCATATAAGTAAAAAACAAAAACAAAAACAAAAAAACCAGAATCAGGGGTAGGGAAGAGTTGAAAATAAAGGGTATAATTGATGGAAGGAAGACCCTGGGGAGCTGGAAGTTGATGGAACCCAGTAACAAAAGCAGTTAAAGGAACATTTCTTCCTCTCAGAATGGACAGGTGTTAAATAAGGATGAGGCTCAGTAAGGATGAGCATGTAGAGAAGGTAAGGAATGACACTGAAACAGTTCTCTACAACTGAGCTGTCTCTAAGAAGGTCTCAGAAGGTGGAAACTTTGGATTCTCAAGAGTTTACCACTTCTAAGACCCTTCAGTGCAAAGTTGTGCATCTCAGAGTGGCCAGAGGACAGATTGGCAAATTACATAATCCCATCCTTGATGGCTCTTGTCTCACACATATTCTGAATAATCTGTAGAAATGTTGTACCATAATTTTGTGTGTCCCTCTCGTTCAGAATGTGCTCACATTACTCACAATAGGTAGAATTATGTTGATTTTGAGAAAAGTAGGGACAATTTCATTATCAAAGGCGCCTGCCATCGCATTGCCTATCAAGAAGCACTAGAACATTTTTGTTGATTTATCATGAAAATTGAATGTGTGCCAAACCCACAGTCAACAAGTAAAACATATTTCACACCAGTCCTTGTGCTCAAGAATTATTGAAACTTTGGGAAGAATCAAAAGCCAGTAGAGTCATAAACAGGCTCATACAGATGTCAAAGACTTAGGCCCCAGGAGGGGAAGTAACTTAGCCAAGATCATCCAATTAGTGGCAGAGCTGGACAGAAAAACCAGGCCATCTGTCTCTTTCCAAATATCTCATGAACTTCATAACTCTATTCAGAAGCTCTCAGTGGAAATGGGGACGGGAAGTTGAATGATTGAGGCTAAAGGAATAGTGTGAAGGGTCACAGAGAGGAAGTGAGGTGTGAGGCGAGATCTGAAGGAGAGGACAAGCCCTGGCAGCCCTCAGCGGGAGGACATCCAGGCTGGTTCCTGGCAAGTGTAGTGACTCAGAGGCAGGGCAATGCCAAGTTGATTTTTTAGCTAATTCCAGAGAAAACAGTGGTCAGAAAGGCTCTGGCTATGTTAGCCCATTACTGGCAAAGGGTCTTGTGAACCATAGGTGCTCAATAAATATTTACCGAATGAATGCATTTCATTAAAAAAAAAATTCCTGGCATAGGAAGTCAGATACTAAGGCAAATGAAGATAAAGGAACCACAGCTGCGGAATTCCAGTTTGTAGAATTATGCAGGTTACAGGCTCTACCATGCCCAGCCCTGAGGGTGCCAGGGGACGGCAGAGGCGTGTGCGAAGGGGAATAGTGATGAAGGGAAGGGCTGAGGCAGCACTTGCTGTTGCACTCCTTTTTCCTGCCTGTGTTGTTCTGATATGATCATTGCCTGGGCATTTCTACTATAGGGCAGGGAAGTCCTGAGAGCAGGGCAGAGTGTCTTCTAAGAAGCCCTGGAACCTAACCGGGGAGAGGAGTTGAGAGCAAAGAGTGCCTGTGAGCTGGCTGGCTCCTGAGATTTCTGGTGCCATCCACCCTGTGGGCCTGGCAGTTAAGAGAATCAGAGCCCCACTCCCCCATAAAGGCAAGTGCCAGACATAAAAGCACAGGTAAGTTCTGGAGGTGCCGGGGACACCTGTGGGGGACCTGTGGACAGGTAGAGCTCAGTTGGCATTACTACAGGCCCTCTGACCTTGAGCTCTCCACCCTGAAAAGCTCCTCCTTACCTACACTTACCTGTAGGAGCACGAGCTACAGCTAAGCTTTCACTCCTCCTCCTACAGGAGGATGAAGGTCAAGGCTGTTGATCAATCCAGGAAAAATAAATCATGATCCCAAAGGAGAAAATTAGGAGAAATTGGAGGGGCACACATTTGGTGGTGGTGGAGGGGTGGGTGGAAGCAACAAATAGAACAATTTGTGCCATAGGAAATATAACGAATGCAACAGAAAGAACAAGAGTTTAGAATAAGCATAATAAGTGTCCTCAGGAAGGAAGAGAAGAGAGAATGATAGAAACAGGTGGTTGTGAAGAAGCCTGCAATAAAGAGGTTCGGAATGGAAAGTCTAATTGCTGAAATAAAGAGCTCAGCCAATGGGTGGAATAGCAAAAAGGACTCATTGGGAGACGAGCGAGTGAGTGGAAGATTGGGTAAGAAACTCTTCCAAAAGGCATCGGAAACGGGAAAGAAGATGAAAAAACAAACTTAAAACACTGAGAGCATTGAAAGGGAAATGGGATGACTGCCTAAAAGGAGTCCCAGTGAGAGAGAAAGTAAATGAAAGGGAAAAATTATTGAAAGTATTTATCAAGAATCTTACTGTAGCCCTAACTGGTTTGGCTCAGTGGATAGAGCGTTGGCCTGCGGACAGAAAGGTCCCAGGTTCGATTCCGGTCAAGGGCATGTACCTTGGTTGCGGGCACATCCCCAGTAGGAGGTGTGCAGGAGACAGCTGATCGATGTTTCTCTCTCATTGATGTTTCTAACTCTCTATCCCTCTCCCTTCCTCTCTGTAAAAAATCAATGAAATATATATTTTTTAAAAAGAATCTTACTGTATACTGGTATGTACCACTCTGGTGCAGGATGTCGGTAGTAGGGGATGCGCTGTATGAGGGGCACTTGGAAAATCTCTGTATCTTCTGCTCATTTTGCTACAAACTTAAAACTTCTCTAAAAAATAGTCTATACTGTTAAGTGTCTGCAAAACATAGTGCAGGATGACCAAGCAAGGTTGATCCTAGGAATCTAAAGATGGAGGAGTATCAGAAAAATGTATCAATGTAATTCATCACATTAATACTGAGAGAGAGAGAAAAAAAGGGATATGTTCTTCGCAGATATAGAAAAGTATTTAGTTAGAAAAAGTTTTTAGTAATATATTATTTTTAAAAACCTATAGAGAAACAATGAATAAAATAAAACTTTTAGTGTTTTAAGACTTTCAACAAAAACATGCAGTAGTAAATATCATCTTAATAAAGATATGTAGGCACCTTCTCTTTAAAGTTAGCAACAACATAAAAACAAAAAAAATGAAATAAAAGATTTAATTTAAAGATTGGAAGGAAGAGATATTTTAAGTATGCACCTAGTAAGATTATTATATGAAAAATTCAACATGGGCAATAGATAAATTATTAGAACTAATTAGAGAGTTTAGCAAATTTGTCAGAAATAAGAATAACACACACAAATTAATAGTAGAAAAGTAGAAAATAAGATGCCATTTACATAGCAAACTAAAAGTATCAAATGTCTAGGAATTAAACTAACAAAGAATCCATGAAAACTTTAAGGAGGACTTTTTAAAACTCCATGAAAAGATGTCAGAGGAGAGCTGAGTAATCTTCTAATGGAACGATTTAACATTGTAACAGCATCAGTTTTCCCTGAATTAAACTATATATTTAACTTAACTCCAGTAAAAACTACCAGCTGGAATTTTGGGGGACCCTAATAAAGTGAGCCTAAAAGGAAGAATAACGTTTTATGTATAACCAAGAGTATTTTGGAAAAAGAAGAGCAAAAGGAAGAGGAGAGTTTACCAACCAAATGGTCAGACATCACAAAGCCTGGTAATGAGAACAGTGTGTTCTGGTGACGAAGCTGACTAGACCCAGACCTAGTCATATATAGAACTTTGTGTATGTTAGGGATGGTGTCACATTTGAAAAAACTTACTTGCTGTGTGGGAAAAATAATAAAATTTATTCCCTTAAAAGAAAAACTTTCAGCTAGATTTGGATAAAAAACAAACAAACTTGAGTGTTAAACGTAAAACCAAAAGTCAATAGGAGAAAATGTGGTTGAGTATTTTCATGACCCCTGGATGGAAGGATTTCATAAACAAGACTCAAAATGCACAAACCATACCTAGGTTTACCTACAGCAAAGTAAGTTTTTATGGGCAACAAACACATCATAAAGGTATCAGAGAGTCAAAAGACGAGAGTAAGATATTTTTAGAGTTGAAAACTGACAAGTGATTAAGATCTAGAATATGAAAGCTATTTCTGCAAATCAGACACAAGACAGGAAACTCAGAAAAAATTAGCAAAGCATATGAACAGGCAGTTCACATAAGGGGAAAAAGTCAGATGATTAGTAATATATGAAGAGAAGCTCAGTCTCATAAGAAATCGGAAAATGAAAACAAAACCACAGTTAAATACCACTTTACACGTACCAGATTGGCAAAAGTTAGGAAGTCAGAAAATACCAAGTGTTGACAGCCGGGGAAATGAGATCTCTCAAGCTTTTCTTTTTGGAGTGTCAACTGATTGGCTATTTTAGAGACCGTTCTGGCCATCTTTATAAAGGGTGTCCCAAAATTCACGCAAGAAATAATTTTGATAGAAAACACAGGTTTATAATTAAAAATTGTAAATTTTTTATTGATTCATAAAGTATACAGTATAGGGTTATGTATGGAATAGCATATTGGATAAATGGCCTCCACAGCTTTGCTGGCACATACGCACTCTTCTGTTGAAATTTTCCATGACCGTTTTGCATAAATGTGGCTGAATTTTGATGAGGTTTTTCATCTTGATGGCTTGGTTAATCGACAAAATTGTCGCATTTGGGGTTCAGAAAATCCATGAGTGATTGTTGAGAAACAAATGCATCCACAACGTGTCACTGTTTGGTGCGGCTTTTGGGCTGGAGGCATCATCGGACCATTCTTCTTCGAAAATGCGCTCCTCGGGCAATAACAAAAGAGTGCGTATGTGCCAGCAAAGCCGGCACATATATGAAATATGTGAATTATTAATGGAATGATTTAACATTGTAATAGCATCAATTTTCCCTGAATTATATAAGAGTTTATTTGAGCCAAACTGATGACATATGCCGGGGTATAAAGATCTCAAATCTTTCTTAAGTGTGGTTATGCCTTCGAAGGGTATTCCTTCTGGCACCACTTCTGTTAACCTAGATGCACAAAAACAATGGACAGGGCTGGCTTTAAAAACTCTCACTTAAGTTACAGGACTGTGGTGTGACCATCCACCATGACCTGCCCAGTTAGGAATTTATGATTTATTACAGCACTTTTTTTTTTCCTACCTCAGTAAAGAGTTGGAGGGAAACCTGCTTGTCACTTGGAGACTGGGCAAAGAGGGGTTGAGGCAGCAGTCTAAAGGAATGAGCTAAATTTACATATAGGAACAGGATGGATATATCCCAGAAACATAATGTTGTGTGTGTGTGTGTGGGGGGGGTGGTTAGAAAAAACATTAGATTTACTCCCAACACAGTTCATGAAATAGCAACTCACAAGCACAAAGCAGCACTAATTTCCAAGGATCCATATATAGCTGAATAGACACTTATATAAGCTGGATTAGAAGGATTCTTATTACATTCACTAGAGCAGGTACCATTGGGGACACAAAAATGGAAAGTGAAGTGAAATATGAAGGGGAAATAATTCTATAAATAACTCTACACAGGGTCCTTGTCCAAGTTGCTGATGCCAGATCTCCATGAATTGAGAAGTACAATGAACTTAAATCTGTGAACCTGAAGAACTTACAAAGAAATCAGTTCTTCTAAAACTTTGCTAGGATGAGTTGTTATGTTTTATATCTTTATCCACAGTGATTTTTGTTTTTGTCCCTCCCCATTTTCCCCATAAAGGGTTGCTGGCTCCTGGCCAGGTCTCTGCAAACTCAGAGGGCATGGACAACATTATGGTGATGTGGGAGCCCCCTGGGGAAGCCGCCTCTGCTGTCCAAGAGTACGTGGTGGAATGGAGGGAGCTCCATCCGGGGCGCGGCACACGGCCCCCTCTGAACTGGCTACGGACTCCCCCCTACAACGTGTCCGCTTTGATTTCAGGTACTTGATTGTTCACCTGCCTTCAGGAGGGTTACTAAATTCACATTTGTTTGAGGAAATTGCAGGTGAGAACCCAAAACCCTGCCCTTCAATTACGAGTGGCTACATGAGAATGCGGGACAGTGATCACCTAGGGTCCTTCAGGACAGCACCCCAGAATACACCACGGCAGCTATAGAAGGCCAACCAACTGGTCGCCTAAAAGCTCCAGTATCTATGGAAAACCCACGTGCCTGACACGGTGCCATATAAGTGAATAAACCAAATGAGTGAGGCTGAGAGCTAAGTAGTAACCAGTCAGTGTGATGGGCAACTTACATTGGGGAGTTCATTTAAGTCTCAGAAATATCATGTGCAGCCCATTATATAGGCAAGGATTCCAGGAAGTCTTTCATGCTCAGGTCTGCTGCCTATTTTTGTGATAATAAATTCAGAATTATCTATATAATTGGTGTCTCTAATCCTCAAATTTTTCAAATCTGTCAGTGGTTACAATCAAGTGAAAGAAAGCCTCTGAAAGCATATTGAGATGATTGGACAAAACTTAGGCAATGTCCTTTTTAAGTGTGTTTAAGTACTAGTTCTGCAGCCAGACTATCTAAATTTGAGTCCTGGCCCTGCCCCTTTCTAGGTTGGATAATCTAGGGAAAATTAATTTCTCTGTGCCTTGGTTTGCTTATCTATAATATGGGGATATTAATATTATCTACCTCATTGGGTTATTGTGAGGATTAACTGAATTAATATAGAGAAAATGTTTGGAACAGTGCCTAGCATATTTTAAGTGCTTGATAATTTAGCTAGCTAACATTATTATTATTATTATTATTAATTATTATTTTACAGAGCTAAGATTTTAATAGATTTTCAAGCTCTAAATCCCATAACACTTCCATCACATCCTGACAGTCATTGCACCTGTCCAGGAGGACACACACACACTGCTTAAGGCAACAAAATTTACACGGATGGAATAAACAGAGCACACTGCGTGATAATACATGAGCCGGTCCTTACCTGGGTGCCCTTTTTTATAGTCTAGCTGCTCAGATTTTTAGTGAGTTGTGTTCAGTTGTAATCACTACACGTAAACAGAAAGCTGCCCAGTGAGCCACAGAAGGTGAGCAAGTCCCTGGGGTTCTGGAACTTTTAATGTGGGAACTACTTAGCACATGGAAGAGAATTCTAGATGAGGGTGGGGTGGTTCGATGGCTGCTGCTGGCTTTGACATACATGAAAAGGAGGATGCATTCTTTACTGTTTTGGAGGGCAAAACGAGGCCTCTGCATGGAAATTATAAGAAGGCAGATGCCCGTTCTCTTTTGAGAAGGAACTTTCCTTGTTATGGTCTCTCATAGGACAAGTGATTGTCCCTGGAGTTGTCGCAGTAGCACCAGTTTACGTTGAGGGCTGCTTTGCCTATCAAATCAGATGAAACAGTGCCTATAGCAGGTGTTTAGTGAGCTCTAAAGTGCTGCAAAATTGCAAATGCTTATTGTCAACTGAATTAGGATTTACCCCTGCAGGACAGTTTAAATCAGTGGTGGCGAACCTATGACAGGCGTGTCAGAGGTGACACGTGAACTCATTTTTTTGGTTGATTTTTCTTTGTTAAATGGCATTTAAATATATAAAATAAATATCAAAATTGTAAGTCTTTGTTTTACTATGGTTGCAAAGATCAAAAAATTTCTATATGTGACACGGCACCAGAGTTAAGTTAGGGTTTTTCAAAATGCTGACACGCCGAGCTCAAAAGGTTCGCCATCACTGGTTTAAATCATATAGTCCCTACAGTTCCTTACTTTTATGATTCTACACAAATACCATAAAGTAGATGAAAAGAGAGAATGGTTTCCATATTTAGGCAACTAAAATGTTTTTAAGCATTTTAGAAATATTCATTTGAATTAGATCCATATACTGGTTGGTAAAATAACTTTAATAATGGTTTTCTTGCTACTTGAAAACACTTGGTGAACTATTAGTTTGTGTTGCTGTTACATTATGAAAATAAACTCTTAAAAAATTAAGTAATTCACACCACGAAATCAGAGGGGCCCTCTCTCCTCAGTGAGATGACTCATTGCCTTCGCATCCTCTGCTTCTGGCTGGGGCCCTTGCTTGTAGTGGGCCTGAAGACAGTCCAGCTCCAGGACTGTAGGTCGGTGAGACTAGGCGAGGGATCATCAGTCCCGCCCTGTCTGCATAAAGATGGTTCAGGCCATACAGAGCCACACCTTTTACAATAGGTGGCCATCGCCATGTCTAGAAAACCGTCCCTGATTCCTAGGCTATTTAAGCCCCCCTTCTGCATGCTCCCTCATTCTTCCTCTAGGTCAGTGGTTGGCAAACTGCGGCTCTCGAGCCACATGCGGCTCTTTGGCCCCTTGAGTGTGGCTCTTCCACAAAATACCACGTGCGGGCGCGCACGTACAGTGCGATTGAAACTTCGTGGCCCATGTGCAGAAGTCGGTATTTTGTGGAAGAGCCACACTCAATGGGCCAAAGAGCCGCATGTGGCTCACGAGCCACGGTTTGCCGAGCCGCAGTTTGCCGACCACTGCCCCATACTTAATAGGGGAAATTAGCTTTCTGCAGAAAATCCACCTAAAAGAGTATTTATAAACATGGACACCAGGTATATAGGTATGCTTGCCAGTAGGAGGAAATGAGCTGGTAGTTGGGGCCAGGATGAAGAAATAAAAATCTTAACATTGTGGGGAGCAGGGCTAAGGAATTTTCGAGGTGGAGAGCAGACATGATTAAGGAGTGTTTGTATAAGATTTAGCCAGTTCAACGGGAGTCCTCAAGATCAGAACCAGGGAACTAGCTTGCTAGGGCTCCACGCTTCACGGAAAAGGAAATGTCACCTGAGTTAAGGAGCCACATTTTCTTCCCTCCTCCACTAAGGGTAGGCTCTTCACAAGCAGCAGCCCACAGCTTCTGTAGAGCCATTCCCAAGGCTTCTGCCTTAAACACAGTTTGCATGGCAAAATGTAACAAAAGCATTTGCCGGCTGAGCTCATCTGGAACTCCCACGCCTCTGTATGGTACCGTGGTTGGTTGGCACCTTCCTCGACGAGCAGCAGAGCAGCCAGGCACTAGCCACTCTGAAATGAAACGTGATTCCATTCTCCACGGTGCCCTTGGGGCCCCCGGGTCTGGATGCCACCCACATATAATCTTTGGATTACAGGACTGAGCTGACTGTGTCCCTACCTCCATCTCACTTAGTTCATGAATACAAATGGGAACTCACCCGTGGCTTCGTCTTTTCTCTTCATGGTCATTCTGACAGAACTGGTGGTGTGTTTGAGCTTTATATGCTGCGTATTTGCTGGAATATTTAAAGGACAGCGAGTTTTCTTATAAAACACACAGTTTAGTAAATTATTCAGTGAAATTCTTCTTCCCCAAACAGGAAATGTTAAATCCTAATCAATCGTCCGTGGTAGGGGACCAGATCTACCTATGGCAGGGCTTTAAACAATATGGGAGAGAGCTCTTGTTTTGACCACATGATACTATAGTTACCTAGTAGTGATTCTCTCTTTTTCCTTTAAATTTTAATGGGGAATTTAAAGATATGTCATGGACAGTAATACGAGAGGGGCCTTTTTCTTTATAACAAGTAGAGAGAATGGAAATAAGGAGCTTGGGCAGGAAAGAGCGACTTGCCAATAAACTTTGTAGCTGATAGAAAACTGCAAAGGGTGGCAGTTTAAAAGCTCCGAAGGTGTATTAACATTCCCGGGGATCTTCCAAATCTTCCACGCTGCGAAGCAACTGAGATCTAATTGGATCATGGTGCGGGCAGGTAGGGAAGGAGCAATGGGTCGGATTGCACTGAGCGTGCCCTGGTTAGCCACACCCGAATATGTCACCCCAAGCTCCCCAGTCAGATCCTGATAAGCGTCTGTGGAATTGAAGAGCCTTCCAGGTTCTATGCCTGAAACACCCAGCCTCACTTTTCGATAAATGGCAAATGATTTATTTGTAGAAGTCAGTTGTTGTTTTTTCCGGAAGGAAAGTTTTGTTTCAAAATCGGTCTGTGTGGTTATATTTAAATCCTGGTTGAGACTGGGCTAGCTTTTGTCTCCTTAATCACGATGACCCTCAAAAGAGACTCAGGTTTGCTTAGTTGTTCACTATGAGGTGAACTTTGGAGTTGGGAGCTGTGGCTTCTAGGAGGCAGTTCCATAGCAAATAGGAGGCTGAGATTTTGTAACAGGTCATTCCTTTACCCTTGAGCCATCTTCACACTAAGAAAAGGCAAGAAATGCCTTGAATGCATCTGTACAGATATGGAGGCGGCTCCTTTAGTGACTCACAGGTAATACCGCCTCTGTGATAAGAACTCCCTTTCCTTGCAGAGAACATAAAACCTCACATCTGCTATGAAATCCGTGTGCACGCACTGTCAGGGCACCGGGGAGGATGCCGCTCCATCCGGGGTGACTCTGCGCACAAAGGTGAGTCTTGGGAACCTTTGTCAACGTTTTGCTTTAGTTTCATGATTTGGATTTAGAGGGGTGACAACGCCTCCTGTGCTCTACTTTACAGCACCACTGAGTGGCCCCCACATTAATGTCATCACAGAGGAAAAGGGGCGCATTTTAATTTCATGGGACGAAATTCCAGCCCAGGAACAAATGGGCTGCATCCTCCATTACAGGATATACTGGAAGGAACAGAGCTCCACTTCCCAACCTCGATTTTGTGGTACGTGTGAGAAAAGAATGCTGCGGGGCCTTCCTTGTTCAGATGCCAGGAGAACACAAGCACATGCATGTGCATACATACACAAAGTGCTAGTACTGTTCCTGGCACTTAGTAGATGCTCAATAAATATTGTGAAATTAACTGAAGGAAGGAAAAGACATCTGAACTCATAAGCACAGTTACTGGATATATGTTATGTGCCAAGCAATTTAAAGAAATGAAGATGATAGACCAGGCTCTCAAGGAGCTTATTCACATGGGGAGGTGGCATTTCAAAAAGCAATAAAGACACTTTAGTACTATTATATAGACCCTTGAGGTTTACAATGAATGCATTTGGAGAACTTTTTGAGTTCCCACATTTGCAAACACCATTATAGCATACTATTTTATTCTCAAAATGGGTGAATTACAACTTAATTCCTTATGACCTATAATCTATATATATAAAAGGCTAATATGCTAAGTGTCTGACCCTCCGACTGGTCGCTATGATGTGCACTGACCACCAGGGAGCAGACGCTCAATACAGGAGCTGCTGTGATGCGCACTGGCCATTTACAGAGAAATGGCACCACGGACCTGGCACCAACAAAGCAGCACTCGGCTTCCCCCAGGTGGGACACAGGCCCTGCCACCACCCCGGATTGACAGCCCACCAAATTGCAGCTGACGCTGTCGAGACCCCATGGTGCAAAATGTGGCCCACAGCCCAGCCCAACCTGGAAACAGTGGCTGTGGGTGCCGGGTAATGACATCATGTAGCAATGGCCGGCTACCTCTCCCTAGCGACTAGCCTCCTTAGAATTTCTTCAGCCCAGGAACCCAACTTGCTTTATAGCCAGGTGCAAACATTTTCTAGTAGAAGTCCTGGAGTAGGTAGCTAGGAGACCTGGTGGAATCCTATTTTCTTTTCATGAGCCAGAAAATGGAGATTTACAAAGTTTAGAAACTTGACCCAACTGAAAAGAGGAAATGGTGGAACTTGAAAATGACTTCAGGTTTTCTCACTGTGCAGAATATAGTCAAACACTGCTATAGTTAAATATTTTACCCATTGTTTTCCCTGTATGGTCTACAATAATCTGCTTCATGTTGATATTTACTGCTGTGTTGCTGACAATTACCTGAAAGAGAAGTTGAGGTGCTTCACTGGGTGGGAAAAAGTTTTCGGACATGGCCAGTTGTATGTTGCTTTCTCTTGAGTCCAAAGAGCATGTGACGTTAAAGTTAAAGTTGTAAATACTTCATCATAAGGGAAATTAGTCAAGTACTCTGAAAGTGTTTTTACTCTTAATGTGGTATACAGGGAGATATTAGAATAAGTTTAACCAATTTATCAGTCATTGTTTTTATCAATGTTGTTTTTATATCATGTTTTAGTTGTCTTTATGTTATATCATGTTATTGTTTATTTCTTAATCAATTTATATATTATTTTCATGTACATTTTACTAATTCTTTCACCTCTGACACTTCTATTATAGAGAAAGGATGAATAGCGATATTAAAATATTTCTTCTAATTAATTTCCTTTCAATGTGCACGAATCTGTGTACTGGGCCACTAGTTATTCTATAAGACTAAAGCAATTAAAATAAATTCTGGCTGGAGTATAATCTTGAGTGACTTCATGGATCACTTATTCATAGCAGCTCCAAGGCACCTGCCAGACTTGATGTTCTAATTTTGATTTATTCTGGCTTGCCCTTCTTATTTCAAAGGCAGCTTTCTTCCAGGAGAATTTATCATAAAGAAGCAACTTTTTTGTTCATTCATGAGAGCTAGTGGGTCCAAGAAGAATGTAATGGAGCCACCCTGAGATGTGGGTGCCAGGGTGCTGCCTGCAAGAGGGATTTTTACCTGGGAAACTTGAGCCGTCAGTCCTCTCTCTTGACCTTTCAAGACCTGGTGTTGCTTTTCTGAGTTAGGACTTTTGAAGCTAGTTAATTTTTATTATATAAATAATACTTGCAAGTGATAAAAACATTTAAGTAGTTCAGTAAGACATAAAGTCAAAATTATCCCTTTCTTTATACTTAAACTATTAGCAGTTCTTTGTATGCTCATCCAGAAAAAATTTTAAGCCTATCTATATATATAAAAGGCTAATATGCAAAGTGTCCCCTCAGGAGTTTGACCGGGAGAATGGAAGTTCGATCGCTCGCTATGATGTGTGCTGACCTCTGGGGGTGGCACGGAACATGGTGGGCGACCAGCAGCAGTGGGGCGCTGAGGGAGCAAGGAAAGGAGGATACGGGGAGGCGGGGAACCTGATCAGCCCTGATGACCCACCAGGCTTAAGGACCCTACCCAAGCATGAATTTCGTGCACCAGGCCTCTAGTGTTTTGAATAATCATCTGTATTCTGATCTTTTTTGTTTGTTTTAATCTTTATTGTGGAAAGTATTACACACGTCCCCTTTTCCCCCCCATTGACCTCTTCTAACCTGCCCCCACCCCCTGTATTCTGATTTTCATTTTGCTTTTACTTCTCAATAATAAATACTGGAGATCTTTTCACATCAGTCCGGATGATTTGCTTCATTCTTTTTAATAGCCCTCTAGTATTCCATTATAAGACTTTATAGTCATTCACTTAACTAACCCACCATTGATAAACAGGATGTATCATTGAACAGAACTGCTTCCCACTGGGCCAGCCAGGGTCAGTTCTGAAAAACACCCCAGAAGGTGATGAATCAATTGACCTCCTCCTGAGCCATTTTTAAAAATATATATTTTATTGATTTTTTTACAGAGAGGAAGGGAGAGGGATAGAGAGTTAGAAACACCGATGAGAGAGAGACTGACATCGATTAGCTGCCTCCTGCACACCCCCTATTGGGGATGTGCCCGCAACCAAGGTACATGCCCTTGACCGGAATTGAACCTGGGACCCTTCAGTCCACAGGCTGACTCTCTATCCACTGAGCCAAACCAGTCAGAGCCTCCTGATCCATTCTGAACTCTTCATGTGGAATTTGCTTCCCTCTACCTTCCAATTTTCATTTGGCAGAGTTTAAACCGAAAGGCCTATTTACAACCAGACATATGCATGGTCATTTGGTTCATAAAGCTGCTGTTGTAGATGTAGAAGAAAATACCTACTTTATTTTGCCACAAATCTGATGACTCTAAAGTCTATATAAGGGTATTTAAAAATACATCAAAACGGAAGGAGGCCCAGATTCAACCTGTTTTATACCGGTTTAGGTTATACTAGTATTCCTTTTATTCATGAAGCACATATTGATGAGTAAGACCCATTCCCTGTCTCACAGAGTTCACAGTCTATTGAAGGAGATGGAAAAGCACCAAAAAAATGATGTAACTGCTATGATCAGGGACTGACAACTGTCTATTGCATTTGATAACCAGAAATCACAGGTGAATTCACAAGTGCAGCTTCTAGAGAGTGACAGAAGGCAGGAGGCTGAAGGAAAAAGACACCAGGATGGAGGCACCACAACAGCAAGAGCAGGATGGAGACCGAGGGGGAGGGCGCGGTAGAATGTGTCTTGTGGCGCTGCCCACCAGGCCCCAGACTGACAGACATGCAGGGTGCGGTCGGAGCACTGAGCCCTGCTGGGCAGGAGAGGAGAGGTGTGGACCTGGGCTGGGCCCTGGCATCTGCATGTTAGTGCAATCCCCGCGGAATATGGTGCGAGACTTCTTGGGAAGTTGGTTGGTACCTCCATGTGCACCAGTGGCAGGTGCTCTTCTGTACTGGTGCACACACTATGCTTTGTTCTACTTGGCTATTTTTGCCCACAGACCCTAAGCATCATGAGGGCAGACACCATGGCTGTTTGCTTACCATTGTCTCCCCTGTTCTTACAAGACAGCCAGGCACACAGTAGGTGCTTAATAAAAACAGTATTTGTTGAATAACAAATGGGTGATCACCACCCTCCATGTTGTTAAATCAAGGTAGACTATTAGGGAAAAACTAATTTTCGGTAACGATGCAGCAGTTTTGCCGGAGACCACTTGACCTTCTTACCCACTGCCTGTCAGATGATTGGCAACTATCACATCTTCCTAAACTGGTGCCTTTGTCTTTTAACCACCTGAGCCTAAAGTTTCAGAGGGCTAAGGATCGAATGGCCCTTTTATCTGTGCCTGAGATCACAGCCCAGACCCAGGCAGCAGAACCAGTATTTCCTGCATGATTTCTTTCTCCCATTACTCAACTCAACCTATTTTGCCAACCAAACTGCTAACACCATCCTCCTCCTTACTGCTCCCCCATAGTCTCCTATTTTTCAAATATATTTATTTATTCTTTAAATATACGTGTGTGTGTGTGTGTGTGTGTAAACCGTTGGGCCCAGCACACCATTCAAATTTCTTCTATGTTCCGACATCTTATTTCACTCCCAGAGCCAAGGATGCCCTCACACAATCCAATGGTTGACTCCCTGATGCTCGCTGATGCTTTGCTGCAGCAAGATGAGCAGAAGATTGCTTCAAAATTAATTTTTTAATCCCCTGACTTAGGAAGAAGGAAAGAGCTTTTTTAGTTTGATCTCAAAGCTTAAGTCTGTGCAAGCAATTTCATCAGGTTAGAGTAGGCTTGGGAATTTTCCACAGGGTACTTTTTCTGAACAGGATGTAAAATGCAGAAATTGCTCTGATAGTCACAGCTCTTAAATGATCCGCTCCAACCTCAGCCCCTTTGGGTGGAGTGGATATAATATTACAGGGCTCCATCTTGCTGGGTACCCACAGTGAGCAGGGGTGGGGAGTGTAAGGAGTCTGTTTCCCTCATTGATGGTAAACTCTTTGAGGCAGACACAATGCCTTTGTATACTTGGTGCCTTATCCAGAGCAGATGTTCAGTACATATTTGTGACTGTTGAAATAATTTCAGCAAATAGGGTCATGTGACTTGTCCTGGGCTTTGTGAGTTAGTAAATGTGATGTTGAGACACAAAGTGCTGAGTTCTAGTCCTTCATTGTATGCCCCCCAACCCTAATCCCACCCAGAAGATCGCTGGAGGAGAAGACTGCCTATTTACTGAAGGTTACCTACAAACAGCCTCAGTGCATTGTTCAAAAACAAAATATTCCCTGCTGAGAATCTGCAGGGGTGTGGAGAGCATAGGGAACTGATGATTTAGGCTTAAACTGCCAAAATAAATTAATCTTAAATACCGCTGCTCTAGGTTTTAAATTTTGCATCAAATTGTAGCAGATCATCATATTAAGCCTACTAAGCCTACTGAGTGGAAAGTCAAAATTAATAAATGTTGCTTAAATATCTGTTTCATTAATTGCTAAACTTAACTTACTAAAAGGTCAATTGAAAACAGTTTGTATATTGAATTTCTTTCTCAAAGATTCTCAAATATACCTGGTAAATGCCAGAAACATTACAGGAAATAAAAGGAGTTAACCACTATGGCTCAGTTGGTTGAGTGTCGTCCCATGCACCGAGGTCACTGGTTTGATTCCTGATTGCAGGCTCCATCCCCAGTAGGGGGCATGCAGGAGGCAGCAGATCAATGATTCTCTCTCTCAAGTCAATAAAAACATTTTTTTAAAAAAAATAGGAGTTAACTACAGCTAAATCATTTAAAAAACAAAACGATAAAAATTATTTCAAAAGATTTTGCCCCAGAAAAAATATTTACTTCTAATATGCTGGAAAGTGAGACCTCCATAAATGACTGTATATAGGGCCTACTAAAGTGTTAAGTACTAATTAATTAAGACTATTTTAAAACAGAAATGTGCTTTTCTCTTTCAAATTAAATGAAGCCTTAACCAATGAGTAAAAGCCCATATTCAAATATTCCCTTTGATCTGTACCTTGCTTCCTTCATCTTCCTCTCAGAAATTCCCTATAGTGTCTCCGAAAATTCACATCCAATAGACAGTCTGCAGCCCAGAGTGAGATACGTCCTGTGGATGACAGCTCTGACAGCAGCTGGCGAAAGCCCCCGAGGAAATGAGAGGGAATTTTGCCTGCAAGGTAAGAACAACTTTAGAGGTGGAGAGTCCACCCTGGGTTCCCACACAGGTGGTACAGTCCCACGGCCTTTGGCATGGAGATTATCAGATTTTCTTTAAGTTGCTCATAGCTTTCTTACTGCTACACCTTTGCACTTGTTTCCTGTAATTGGACTGCCCTACCATGTCATTGTCTGCTTGGAGACAGTGTCTACTCAATCTTCAAAACTCAGTGGAGCCGAAACCGGTTTGGCTCAGTGGGTAGAGCATCGGCCTGTGGACTGAAGGGTCCCAGGTTCGATTCCGGTCAAGGGCATGTACCTGGGTTGCGGGCACATCCCCAGTAGGAGATGTGCAGGAGGCAGCTCATAGCTTTCTTACTGCTACACCTTTGCACTTGTTTCCTGTAATTGGACTGCCCTACCATGTTATCGTCTAATATATTAAAAAACAAAACAAAAAAAAACTCAGTGGAAATGTTTCCTCCTCCAGGTAGCCTTCCCAAATGCACCTCCTATTTCCCTCATAATGTACTACATTTGACCCATATTCAAACTCCAAATCCAATGGGCAGGGACTGGTATCTGTTTATCTCTATCTTCAAGGTCTAGAATGGTGCCCACCACCTAGTACTTGTTCACTAAATATCTGTTTAATGAATAATGAGAATAATCTCAACAATAGCAATAGCAGCTACTGCATATCAGATAGTTATGTACTAGTCATGTGTTAAGTGCTTTTACACCATATTAGTTTGCTGGGGTTCATATAACAAAGCACCATAAATTGGGGGTTGCTTAGACAATAGAAATTTATTTTCTCACATTTCTGGAGGCTGGAGGTCCAAGATCAAGGTATCAGCAGAGTTCGTTTCTTCTGAAGGCTATGAAAGAATCCGTTTTATGCCTCTCACCTGGAGTCTGGAGGCAATCTTTGGCGTTCCTTGGCTTGTGGATCTCTGCCTTCATCTTCACGTTGAGGTTTCCTTGTGTGTCTGTGTTCAAACTTCCCCTTTTTATAAGGACGCCTGTCATATTGGATTAGAGGCATCCCTACTACAGTCTGACCTCAACTTAACTAATTACATCTGCAACAACCCTATTTCCAAACGAGGTCACTTTTTGAGGTACTGGAGATTAGGACTTCAACATATGAATATTTGGTGTGGGAGGACACAATTCAACCCACATAACACATACTTTTGCTCATTTAATCTTGACCACAACCATGTAAAGTGCCTGTTTTACATGATTATACCTGGTCACACTACCAGGCGCTCAATATGAAATGAATAAAGGAAGGAGGGATTAGGATGCCTTTTACAAATGTAAGGTACAGAAAAATTACTCAAGGTCATAGAGGTGGTAAATGGCAGAACTACAAATCAAACTCAGATTTGAGTTACTTAAGGTTGAGTATGTAGTGACCCAGCTATCCTGTGCTTCCACAAGCTAAGTTACATTGTTCTCTCTAGCAGCACTAGTTTGCATTTGCCCCAAGAGTAAAACACACTGTTCTTGCTTTCTGACAGGGAGTATCAAGTTGGTTATTCAGGACTTTGTTGTTCTATGCCAGGTACTTCTCCACTGGGAAAATTAAAAACCCATCTTTTCATCTCCCAGTGACTCCCATGAAAGTTAACTGTGAGCAGTTAACTAGATGAAGAGCTCAGCACCATTCTACTTGTGGTGCTCCAGACTGTCCCATCTGCCCAGGAAGGAAGGCAGATGCTGAAGAAATGTCAGATTGGGCTGGTTGTATGGGGTGGTAACAAGGCTGCCTGTGTTAACTCCCCCATTCAGCCCTGGTAATACACCTCTGTCACTGAACCTAGCAGGTCTCTGGTCTTTAGTTCCCCTGCTCACCCTCCCTCCCAGCCTGTCCTTCATTCCATCAGAAGAATCTTTCTGCAAGACCCCTAGTGCTGATATTCCACCTCTTGCTACAACCCATCAGTGGTTCCCCAAGGGCTTCAAGCTAGGATTCAAACTGCTCTGTTACCAGGACCTGCATGACTTGGTCCTACTCACTCATCCAGCTTCATCCTCTGCCTCACACTCATTTATACTCCAAAGCAGGACCAGACAGCCTTAGTCCCCTGAAAGTGCTAAGCTGTTTCCTCCTCCCATGGGCTTTGCATAGCTCTCGGTCTAGTCTGCGCTTCCCTAACTTGTCCTCTTAGCCAACTCCTGTCCATCCAACTCTACACTTTTGACAGCATGCCTTTTGGGAAACCATCCTGAGCTTCATGTAGACACCACCACTCACCTTTTATGGATCAAGAACCTGAAGTCCAGCCCTAACCGGTTTGGCTCAGTGGGTAGAGCATCGGCCTGTGGACTGAAGGGTCCTAGGTTCAATTCTGGTCAAGGGCATGTACCTTGGTTGCAGGCACATCCCCAGTAGGGGGTGTGCAGGAGGCAGCTGATCGATGTTTCTCTCTCATCGATGTTTCTAACTCTCTATCCCTCTCCCTTCTCTGTAAAAAAATCAATAAAATATATTTTAAAAAAAAGAACCTGAAGTCCACAGATCACATATCAGTCAGTAGAAGATACAATACTAGAATCCAGAGCAGTTCACAGCCAGTGCATTGTATATCAAACTCTTTCCCCCCCACCCACAGAGGAAGCAGCCCTTGTAGGGCTGGAGCTCCTCCCAGAACTATAGCATTGGCTCCCTGAGGCCCCTCCTCTTCAGTGGTTCTCAACCTTCTGGCCCTTTAAATACAGTTCCTCATGTTGTGACCCAACCATAAAATTATTTTCCTTGCTACTTCATAACTGTAATGTTGCTACTGTTATGAATCGTAATGTAAATATCTGATATGCAGGATGGTCTTAGGCGACCCCTGTGAAAGGGTCGTTCGACCGCCAAAGGGGTCGCGAGCCACAGGTTGAGAACCGCTGTGACTTAAATGAATGGATAAAATGACTCGGCCTATTCCTGGGCCCAGCTACCCAGGAGCTGTGGTAGGGCCGAGTTTCACACTATAGAGAGTATTTTGAAATGTTCACTGAAGATAACTCAATCACAGGGTTTGCTGTCTTTTCAGGTAAAGCCAATTGGAGCACATTTGTGGCAGCGAGCATTTGCACTGCTATCATCATGGTGGGCATTTTCTCAATGCGTTGCTTCCGGCAAAAGTGAGTTGGGTACACCTGAGTTTTGGTAACTGTCTTTTTAAATGATAATTGTTATCGTTGCTATGAGTCCAAGAAATGGACACTCTCATACATTGCTGATGGCAGACTAAATTTATTTCTTTTTGGATTGGCAATATATATTAAATTTTAAAAATGTTCTATCATTGACCTAGCAATTTCTAACTAGAAATTTATTCTAAGTATATCATAAGGGTATGCTAAAGTATTGTTCATAAAAGGAAAATAATTTGAAACAAAGACCCAATGACATGGGATTAATGAAATTATGATATATCTCATGCTATCTAGCAATATTATGTGTCCATTAAAGATGTAGAAGAAAATGAAATCATGAATACTTGCTGTATTTTAAAAGCAGCTTGCAAAAGATGTACTTCCATTTTTTAAAAGAACAGTACATACACACACAAAAAAAAATTATCAGTTATCATTAAATTTGGTTGTATATAAGATAAAGATCCAAAATAATATGACAAACTAGCTAACAGCTTCTCACCCAGGTAAGGGAAGTAAACTCAAGTCAAGGGTTGGTGAATAGCTCCAATGCATCTTTCTGCTCCATTATCCTGACATTGGCTTCCATCCATTTCACCTCATGGTCCAATGGCTGCAGGAATGATAGCCATCATGCCTGCTTTCTACAACTACAGGGAAAAAGAAGGTGCCCACACTTTCCTTTTCAGAAGACTTTACATGAAAAAGTCACACAGGATACCTTTGGTTAGATTTCATTGGCCAGAACTTGGTGAGGCAGGGAAGTTTAGAATTGTGGCCTTACAGCTGGGTTCATGGTTGTCCCAATACATTAAGGTGTTCTTCCTAAGGCAGAGAGGAAAACAAGTATTGGGCAGCAATTAACACTCTCTGCCCCAAGAATATACACCAAAATATTAATGGTGGTTATATCAGGGAATAAAATCATATTAGGTGGTTTTAGTTCTTTTATTTAGTTATATTTTCTAAAATTTCTTTAAACATATTATTTTATTGAAAGAATTTTTAAGGAGGTAGTTACTCAATACAAAGTTTTCTTCAGATGTTGTATAACGTAAGAGAAGAGGTAAAAATAAAACTAGCTCAAAGTCATTCTGCCAGCTATTGAACTTGTCTAAAAGGCTTTACATTTATTGAAACCCTGTATGTGATAGGTACTTCAAAGCAGAGCTCTCTTTAGGTAGATTTTGAAAAAGTTTAACTAAAAAAAGAGTTAACTAGGATCACATGTATCCTCTTCAGGGAAATAGTATTAGTGAGGGGCAAAGCTTCTGCTGTTTAAAAAAGGAAGGAAGGAGGGAGGGAGGGAGGGAGGGAGGGAGGTCCAAAATATAGTGGCTTTAATAAAATAGTTTATTTCTCTCCCATATAAGAGATAAGTCATCCAGGTTGCTTGGCAGCTCTGCTCCACACAGTCATTTAGGGACCCAGTTTTATTCCATCTTAGTGGCCCACCACCCTTTGGGCACTGCCCTCATCTGCATGATTTATCCTAGGTCACAGGTACCTCTGCTCACATTTTTGGGGGGGAAAAACTAATCACATGGCCACATCTTTTGTTTCAAAGAGCTAAACACATCCCAGAGCTTACCATTCTTATTAAACATCAAAGCTTAAGGTTTTAAAGATGTTTCATATTGGTCTTGAATTTTTAAAAATATAGTCAAAATATTTAACCATATGCATTTATAAGAAACAATTTAAAGGATTTTTTTCTCTCCTACATCATAAAGGTGATATAAAATCATTTAAAAAAATTTTAAAAACCTAGAGATGTAGAAAAAAAGACCCATATTTCCTCTGATCACCAAACACAAGTACTCTTCTAACAGTTTGAATGTTTCTCTACGGTATTTTTCTTGGCATTTTTTTGCATGGTCTATGTTTACGTTATTTATATCATTAGTATCCTGTTTGTTTTCTTACTTTTAGCATAATTTACTTGTCATTACAAACTCTTTATGAACATTGTAGTTACATGATTAGAAAACTCCCAAGAGTAGGGACCATGCCTTCTTGTTTGCTGTCCTACCCCAGCACTGTGCTGGTCATACCTTAGGGAATGTTTGTTGAATAAGTGCATGGCTGCATAGTGACAGCTAAACATTACACTGAGCAAAAGTGCCATCATTTATTTAGCAAACCCCACGTGACTGCATTGTGACTCTATCACCTACCCAAACTTCACAGAAAACTAGTCCATCCTTAGATGATGCATCATCTTTCTCCTTCAGTGTTTACGTTTCACTTATTTGCGTACCCCTGCACTGAAATCACTGTGCTAAGAACCCGTGCTTCCATGTCATCTGTACTCACTTAACCTGTCGGTGTTTTCTATATCTATAGGGTATTTGTTCTCCTGTCAGCCCTCAGACCTCAGTGGTGTAACAGAGAAATTCCAGACCCAGCGAACAGCACTTGGGCCAAGAACTATCTCATTACGGAGGTAAAGTATAAAGCCTCAGTGGTCAGTTGATGGGGTTCCAGACATGAGCAATCTAAGTTTCCCATTGTAGTTAGGAGGAAACCTGGGTACTTGGAACCCATGAACAAACTGAAGTCATTCACACTAGGTTACCATCTGAGTCGTTACTGCCCTGATGGGAGTTTTCTGAAGGTTATGACCTCGACTCAGACTCATCGCTTTTCATTCCTCTCTATGCCTATGTTCCCCTCCTCCACCTTAACTTACTTTAAAAGAAATTTAAAAAGCAAGTATTTTTGCCATTTGCTTACCCCTCGCTTGACACTGACTCATTCGAATTTGAGATTTGAAGCTTTACCATGATGTTTGTTCCCAGCCCCGTCTGAGCATAGAACAGATAGAACCCAGACTATTTTGGTTTTAGCAGGAAGCCAGTAAGTCATCCCACTGTGTATGGAAAAGGTTTTAGAGGAGAGGTTGCTCAGCTGGCAGATGAGAGAGGAAGCAAAGGGAGGCGCTGCTGTGCAGTCTGAGGAGGTGAGAACAGCTCACAGTGGGCCAGATGGTCCATCTCTGGTGGAAGGTCTGGAAGCTTAAGACATCTGAATATGGAGCAAGACTGTGCATTTATGGAAAGCAGAGGGGAGGAAAGCGGTATGCAAATATTCTTCCCTAGCCCAGGTTGTTGGCAGCCCCACACTCCCTTTCTCACACCTTATAGTCCTTCTCCTCCAAGATTCTTCTCTTCAAATGCCCAGTGTATTCTATTAACCACACCCTTCCTCAGGCCAGAAGCCAATGGTACAAGCCGCTGCTTAGGGAAAGAGCTGGTCTTAGCCATGTCTGCCCCAATAGGATTTCAGTCCCTGCAGTTTAGTGCCTTTGAGATAAGGCTGGGATGCAAACCCCTCCTCTGCCCCTTACTATGTGGATAACCCTTGGGCAACTTGCCTAACATCTGAGCCCTAGTTTTACCCTCTGTGATGTAGGAATTGATAGTATCTCCCATGTATACTGTTACGAGGATTAAGAAAAGTAAAGATTATTCTTAATGTAAAGCACATGGTTTAAACAAAACAAAGATCTATCATTCACTTTCTTCCCAGGAAGACTCATACTTGATGTCTCTTCTGTCTGTTTAGGGGTTTTATCACTGTTAAGTTATCATAGCAAGAACAGTAATAATAGCAGTAGCTTATGTATACTTTTAAATTTTATGCATATATTTTTCATATATTACATATCATCTGCATGATATATAATTATAGTAGGGTATATAATTATATTGTTTATATACCCATATATGTTACTTTACATATACCAGGCACTTTGAAAAAACATTTTTCATGTGTTAACATATAATCCATACAATAGCTTTATGAAGGTGTGCTATTAGCCTCATTTTTTAGATGAGGAAACCGAGGCACAGAGGACTAAGTAACTTGCCCAACGTTAGTCAGCTAGTAAATGGTGGATCCCAAATCCACATAAGAGCAGGATGTGCCATCCACCACTATACCATTCCTTCTGAAAGATCTTTAAGCACTGGGTATGAGGGGTCTTTCTCAAAGTCAGCGCCTCTGAGCTGAACAGATTGAGGGGCCCTCACTTGGTGGCAATACTGTGATGACCTGTGGAATGCACTCTGTAAGGATGCCGCTGCCAGCATTCGAGGGGATTCAAGGACTAGGTTGAACCAGCTTAGCTTTAAGATCACTTTCTTGCAATGCTGAGATACCACTGTCTCATCTCCTAAAAGCCTGAAATAGCATGGTGGGAAGCAGCTCCGGTCAGTCACCGACACCTGGCTTCCGAGCTGGTAGCTTTGGGGGTGTGGGCATGACAAGAGCCCATAAAAAGCCTACAAGAAATGCTAAGAAAGACACACAAAGGGTTAGAGAAAATAACACGGAAAAAGGGTAACAGAAATTGCCACACACATACCCAAAGTCATATAGTATAAATATGTTCATTAGAGCACTATAAATAGAAGCCAAAAATCGGGCAGAATGTAAGCTGCCACTAGGAGGACAGGTTGAATGTTTTGAGTATATTCATACAGCAGGATATTATACAATTATTTTTTTAAAAAAAGATATATATGTGTCTAAAAATCTCTAAGATATTTAAAAGTAAAAAAAAAAGTTTGTAACAGTTTCTAAAGTGGGTTTTTATTTGCATAAAAAGGAGTGAGATTTTATACACACAGCCCTCCACACGCTCACAGATATTTCTGGAAGCCTACATGTAAAATTGATAACTGGAGTGGCCTTTGGGGAAGGGGTTGGAGATATGAGGGCGACTTAATTTTCATCATAAATTTGCTTTGAATTTTTAAAATTTCTTACAAAACTATATATCTTTTGTAAAAAATAACTGGTAAATTAGAAAACTGTAAAAATTTAGCTTGGACATGGCATCTGTAATGAAGGCCTTGAGACAGACTCAGAGCCCTGTGTCGCTTGACCTCTGAAGTGAGCAGTCTGGCTTTAAAGACCTAAACTGCTCTCCTGGTGACAGACCAAATCCAGACCAGATCACTCTGACATTTGACAGATTTGGCAGATGTCAGAACTACAATAGTCTGTCTTCCAACTCCAACAAAACGTTTTCTGTTCTCGGGCCCTATGTGGCCCTACCATTTCTTAACACGTGGCTAAAAAAACATGTGTCTTAAAGCTCTGGAGGAAAAAGCCAAACCATAAAGGGGATCACTGGAATGCTAATCCATTTTGAGCTTGTAAAATCTTAAAACAGTGTCCATGAGGCACATGAGCTAATGGTGGACTAAAAGGCCCTGCCCCAGGACTGTCCGCCACAGGGCCTGCTTTATCAAAGGAACAGCTCTATCAACACTTGCCCAAGCTTTTAGGAAAGGGAGGGGAACACCTCACCCTTGGGATAGGAGCCCATTTCCACACCCCTGAGCCACCAGCCATGGTTCCCAAGCCACACCCCACACACCAGCACCACTGTGGGGCGGGGATCCCAGAAAAA